AGGGAAAAGACGGGAAGTCTCTGGGCTGTGCCGGTGGGGGCTACATGCAGAGTAGCACAGTCAGCTCTGACCATCATCTTGAAATTGGTCATGCAGTGGTGTGGTCGGTGTCATGTTGATTGTTTCAGGCACAGTTAATCTTCAACTCCAGTGTTGGTTTGTTCCCATTTCCTTGAGGCCAGTTCCTGGAATTGTGTAAGCCATTGGTTCAGGTCTGCTCAAGGTGGAGCAGCTTACGTCATAGCTCCAGTCTGGTGATCATTCAGTTAGCTTTCTCCTCTTGGAGTGGTTTTAGTATCTGCTGAACAAGTTAGGAGTGTGTCTCTGACACTGTTACTTATGTCCTTCGGGAGGAACCAGAGATTCTGTGAGTGCTGTTGTCCTAATCATTAACTGCTTGAACCTGTCCTTTTGTGACTCAGGGGAGGCCTGGGAGACTGCAGCTGTTTTACAAACAAGAGGCAGGGGACATGGAAGGGCCCTGCAGGGTCCTGCTTGGTTCCAGCAGCCGAGAGGTACAACTTTGTATGCAAGATAATGAGATGTAGTTTTGTTTATTAACAGGAACAAAAATAGTTTGGTCCTAAAGTGAAATGACTGATTGTTCCAGCACCAGAAAGAGGATAGTGAAGGACACAACCTCAGTGAATATAGAAAGTTGCAAGAGATGGGTGGAAAGGGAATTTCATTTGTGTGAGCTGAAGGCGGCTCAGTTTTGATGTTTATTCCAGAGGTTTTCAGAAAAGAGCTTCTGGTTCTCTGAGTATCCAATGTTATATTGATGCAAAGCTGGAGTTTGGTTTTCTCTCTGTAAAATGATAACTGTTTCTAGTGGAGTGTTGGTCTCTTTAATAAGTGGTTGGAAAGTTGTTCTCTAAATCTGCGTAAACAGCAGAGCTTCTGTGTCTCACTGGAAGAGCTTTCTGCCCCTAGTTCTGAATGCATCCGGCCTTATTATGTTTTGAAAATAAATGCACAGGGACTTCCCTGGCGGTGCAGTGGTTAAGAATCCGCCTGCCAGTGCAGGGCACACGGGTTCGAGCCCTGGTCCGGGAAGATCCCACATGCTTTTAGAAACTAGAGCACGGAGAGAGTAAGGTCATACAAAATTTGAGACACTAAATATTGTCATAGTTTAAGCAGTGTGAAGATCGTTGAAAGAAATTATTTGTCATCCTTCAAGCCATAAACATTTGATGAATACTTGCAAAAAATAGAAAATAAAGAAACCTCTAGAGGCCGCGAGCCACAACTACTGGAACCCACGTGCCTAGAACCCATGCTCCGCAACAAGAGAAGCCACCGTATTGAGAAGCTGATGTACCACAATAAAGAGTCGTCCCCGATCACGCCAACTAGAGAAAGCCCACGTGCAACAACAAAGACCCAACGCAGACAAAAATAAATAAATAAATTGAAAAATGTATTTAAAAAAAAAGAAAATAAATGCACAACAAAATTTCTGCATTTCTGAGAAAGTTAAGCTTCCTTAAAACTGTGTTTCTTTTGGTCTGTTTGTTTTTTTTAAGTGTACTGTCAGGAATTCCCTGGCATTTCAGGGGTTAGGACTCTGCGCTTCCACTAGTAGAGGCCTGTTTTTGATCCCTGGTCAGAGAAGTAAGATCCTGCAAGCTGCGTGGCGTGGCCAGAAAAACAGCAAAGACAAAATAATCATACTTTAGCCGTTCAACACAGTCAGGGACCTTTAGTTCCTCCTCAAGGGCTATCGGGTAATATTCTGAGCCATGTCCTTGGAACTGCTTGGCAGAGACTGAAACCCCCAGCAGGTGGAAGAAGTTAACTGCATGCTGCCCACAAGCACGTAGACCCCAGACCAGTTGGAACCAGAAGGCTGATGATGTTGAGTCCCCGTGACCTCAGCACCAACCAATCAGAAGCATGTCCGTGAGCTGATCACGCACCCTGTAACCCTCTCTTCAACATGTAGCCCCTTTCTCTTTTCCCTGTATAGTCCTCAAGCAAAACCTCAGGAGGGGAGAGTTGGTTCTTCGGGACATGAGCCCACCATCTCCCCTGGACTGCCGGCTTCCTCAATAAAGCTATCTTTCCTTGTACCCAACACTTGTCTCTCAGTATTGGAGTCCTGAATGATGCAAGATGTGCCTCATCTTCTGTAGTTTTCTCTGCATGAAAAATAATTCAGGATTATTTTTCAGAGTTAAGAAATGTGGTTGGATAATCACAACACCATTAAGCAACACCTCGTTGGACAGCAAAGAGGCGAAGCCGACTGGTAATGACCACACACGTCATGACTGTGGGAAGACTTTCATCTTTATTGTATTTCCCAAAAGCTGCATTGCACGGTGCTCTTTAATAATCTAAAATAACGTACAAACATGTTGAGACAAGTTAAAAAATTACGACTGAATTCCCACAATTCAATAATGAGAACAAAAAAAATAAAATTTATGCTTACAAGATGTGGGAGGAAATACCCACCTAGCTGTAAGTAGAATGGGAATATTATGTAATATATAAAGTGTATATTATGTAATAGATACAAATAAAAATCTCTCTTGAAAATGTGAGTAAAATTGTATATATGTGTAAATATACAACAGCTGTAATACTCATCAGAAAAGTTTGTAGGAACAAGGTGTTTCAAAATGAAGACTATTTCAAAATAAATATTTAAAACTATTTAAAATAAATATATAAATATAAAAATAGAATAATTTGATAGGTGACATTTTCAAAATAAGCCTGTGAAAGTTAAGTCATCAGTCACGACCCTATGGCTCTCATTATATATTTTAAACTTTTTCTATCCTATTCTGAGCCCCTACACTCCACCTTCAAATGCTTCTAGACCGGGGCAAACAAGTGTATAAAAAATGGGACCTCCAATGGGACCTCAGGGGAGATTTGAATGAAATGATCTGAAAATTGGGGTGGTGACTTCCAAAAGGATGGCATCTGAGAAAACCCTGTTTTCTTATTGTCCTGCCACAGACTCCTAGAAGCATGCCCCGCTCCTAGGAGTATGATATGAAAACTCTTCTCAGCTCATTCTAGAAGGTGCTGGGTTCTTTGCGATTCTCTGCACAAGAGGCTTTCTCCCTTCCTTCCTCACAGCTGTCATCACTGTCTGGAGTGCCCTCGTGTTGAACATCCTCATCTCTCCTGGGCTCTGTGATCTGGATGTAAGAGAAAGAGCGAGGATGTCAGATTGCAAAGTGGCAACTGTGCAGCTATAAAGGTTTTCACATGCTTAGTCGATTCTAAGCAGAACTGAGACTCCTTTATGATTGCAGTTTTATCTCAAATTCTCCATTCTGAACCCCAGTCCTGAGCCATTCATTGTTTTCAAGTGTGATTCTTGGACTCTGGTGACCCTGACTCCAAAAACTACTGAATACACCTAAGGTCAGGCCCAGTAATCTGCTTTATAGCGAAGACCCCAGGTGATTGTGTGCAGGGAGCTGGCATTTGGAGAAATGCTGCTTTAGTCTCAACTCACCTTGGTCCTCTGGCACCACTTCAGTTCTGAACTTGGCACCACACTATAGACATGACTGACAAGTCAGCATCGTGGACCAGGAGACCTGATGCCGGATGCCTAACCCTGACGCTAACCCTGCATCCTAATGTCTATTTTATTATTAATTTTTCATTTATTTACTCATTTCCTTTATTTTATTTTTGGCTGCATTGGGTCTTGGTTGCTGCGTGTGGGCTCTCTCTAGTTGTGGTGAGCGAGGAGTACTCTCCGTTGCTTCTCATGATGTTGGCTTCTCTTGTTGCGGAGCATGGGCTCTAGGCGCACAGGCTGAGTAGTTGTGGCTTGCGGGCTCTAGAATGCAGGCTCAGTAGTTGTGGCTCGTGGGCTCTAGAGCTCAGGTGCAGTAGTTGTGGCGCACGGGCTTAGTTGCTCCGCGGCATGTGGGGTCTTCCCGGACCAGGGCTCAAACCCGTGTGCCCTGCGTTGGCAGGCGGATTCTTAACCACTCTGCCACCAGGGAAGTCCCTGGATCCTAATTGTTAAATAATACTCAGTCCTAAACTTGGTTAGTGTTACGGGCTGAATGTTTGTGTCTCCCAAAATTCTTATGTTGAAATCTTAAAATCTTAACCGCTAAGGTGCTGGTATTAGGAGGTGGGGTCTTTGGGAGGTTATTAGGTCATGGGGTAGAGCCCTCATGAATGAGATTATTGGCCTTGTAGAAGAGACTGTGGAGTGTTGTTTATGAGCCACGCAGTCTGTAGTAGGTAGGGCAGGTCGAATGGACTAAGACAGCTAGTTTGCAAGATTTAAGCCAAATGCTTGCTCAGTCCTCTGCCCACATCTAGAACTCTAATGTGTCAATTGTAATAAGCCATGCTGAAGATGGCATTCCTTAACCTTCACTCGTTGTGATAAACCCCCTTGACCGTAAACTTGAGGGGGAAAAGGTGAATTGTGCAAGAGGAATCATTGGTCCGGAAGTGGTGAGTCAGGGGAAATAAAGAGTCCCAGGTCATCTGGCCACAAGCAATTTGAAAGTAAATGTGGATGAAAATAAAGCCAGTCCTAATTCATCTTCTCTTATTGAACGTGTGGGCTGTTGTATGTAATATCCTGTGTGTAGACATTTACTTTGTTGTAGGTAAATGCTGGAACCCATATCCCTGAGGGATGTAAGGCCAAAAATGAATGAAAAAGAGAAACTGGAAACACAGTATATGGAAGAAAATCACCATCTCGTCAAAGCTGTCATTTGGACCCAGTTGCTTTGGGTGAAATGACTTCAGTGAGACCCATGCGTCTGGGACAAACTGGTTTCCCCGAGGTCTGGCGCCCACGGGCCCCGCGGTGCTGGTGTCTGTGTGTGGCTGTCAGTCCGTGGCTGGGCGCTGAGTCGGCGTGTGGCTGTGTGCCCGGCTGGCCCCCTTCACAGCGTGTGAGGTGATGTGGGTCCAGCAGTGGGATCCCTCCGATTTCCTCAGTAGACAACACGTCATTCCGCCCTCACCTTTGCGCACGCACGCAGACCTACCTTTGCGCAGGCCGATGACTTGAGGCCTGCGTGCTCCTGGGGCCCCTGGGGCAAGAGGGAGCGATCTCTTCCCCACACCCAGAGCTCTGGATCAAAAGCCTGGATCTGGAAAGAAAAACAGCCCCTGGCAATGAGGATGCCGCTGCCTCCCGTTGCCCGGCCTCCGGTTCTTTCTCGTCCATCCCCAAGTCCCAAACCGAGTTCCCCGTGATCCCCCGCTCCTCTCCGGCCCCACCCCTCCCCGAGACCGCCACAGCCCACCCACCTGCTCGCACTCTTCCCGAGTGACCCTCGTCTTCCAGCCCATGGAACGGATGAACTGGGAACGCAGTTTGTGGAACAAGGGACGCTGGGAGCGGTTCTTTCCATAGAGGAACGAAAAGATGGCCTGTTTGGGGGCCTGGTTGTCCTCTTCCATGTCGCTGGCCACATAGCTGGGGAAAGACATCAGGTCGCTGTCATCAGGACAGGAAGGGCCTCCGCTTGAGATCAGCTTCCCAGGAAAGAGGCAGGCTGAACATCCTCACACGACCCACCCAGCCCTGCCCGGCGTCACCGTCACCGTCACCGAGAGCCGCCCAGTCGTCAAGGAGGCACTGCCAGGCAGGACCTTCGGAAGGGTGCCTCTCACACCTTGAGGATGAGGACAAAATCCAAACCCCGTTCCCTTCAACTTGTTTTATGTGCACACACCTCTCTCCCTATGTTGTAGGTACAGGTACAGTTCCTGAGGGCAGGAGCTGATCTGATCTGTTTCTGCATTCATCCCTCTCCTACCAAATGACACATTTAGGGCTTGGTTCATATTGATGCATGAATTCAACAGCCTTTTGTGAATCTCTGTTCCCATCACCTCATATTCCGCGGCATGTAGGGTGTACGTTATAAGGTTTCATTAGATCAATGAATGAATGAATGAATGAACATTTAATCTCAGAGCCAAATGCAATACTGATTACCTCGAAGACTCACAGTAACGAACATTTGCAAAATGAAAAGAATTGTGCTGAGCGTTTTGGGAATGCATTGACATTTTGACAAGACCTGCCTTCCACATTGTGTCCAGTCTCATGGGACTGGGGAAGGGGAAGCGGGGAGATAAGAAATGACTATAATGCAAAGCATCACATTATAATACGATTTTAACTCAAGTGCCTCCGGGATGCAGACGTTAGGGAGATCAGGCATCGTGAAGGTTTTGGTGTTTGAACCCACTTTAAGGATAGGGTCATTTTCTTCAGATAAATGTGCGGGAAAGATACCTGGACAGAAAGCCCAATAGAAGCTTAGAGGGCAGGGTATTTGGAAGGAACGGTGGAACACAGGAATAAAGTGTCAGGACGGTGTGATGGGGATTGCAGAGAGAGTTGAATTCCAGCCCAGAGCTCTGGCCTTGATTTGGCATGGCATGAGCCGATGAAGTTGTGTGAAGCGGTCAGACCTGTGTTTTGGGGGATATTCAGGCAAATAGAGCCGACTGGCTTGGGAGACTTGGAAGAAACGTCAGTGGGGAGCAGTTTCCACCAGATCCGCGCTATGTGATCAGGGCCCCCCGATTGTGGCATTTGTCGTGGGAACGCAGAAACGGAAGATAATCACACTTGGTGCTGATGTGGGAAGACCCGAGACTGGAAAATCAGAACCGGAAACGTCTCAAGTCTGTTTACTCGGGGGCAGGATGGTGTCAGTTCTTTCTTCCTCTCCTCTTAGGAAGGTTTTGTGTTTTGCTTTGTTTCGTTCAGTGTTTTAATTGACATTAGGGTAGTTTGTTTTGAGAACGAATGGTATAAAAAACATAACTTTGTGTGAAAAAGAAACCACTGTACCGTAATCCTGTCATTTTCACACCAGAGTAAACAGTACAAAGGGGTTTAAAAAAATAGATGAAAGGTCAGTGCCCCACGTCTCTCTCTCCGCCCTCCCAGGGTGTTGAATATTGATGGCTGGGATGGAGCAAGGTACTCACAGAGCTATGAAGAAATGGATTCTCTGGAATTGCCAGGAGAAGAGCCCGGCCCGGCTAAAATAAGCTATCACCATCGACAGGAGATACTGATGGAAAGAGGGAAAAGAACGTAGGAGAGAGGTCACCTCCTGGAAGAGGAGAAAGAGTGGGAGGGAGAAGGGAGCAGGGGACGAGGATGGGTGGTGCCACTTGGAGAGGAGACCCCCCGTGTTGGGGGAGCCTGATTATTTGGGGAAGGGGAGAGGACAGAAAGTCAGAGTCCCCAGGAGCTGAGAGGAGAGGGGACTTACGCCGCAACCACCAAAGGGGCACACCTGGGGCTCAGATCCCAGAGGGGACCTCGAGGCCCCTGGAGGGAAGTGTTGACAAGGCATCAGGTTGGGAGGGGAGTGGAAACGTGGGTGTAGGAAGCACCCCGTGCGCCCACCCAGGACAGGCGCTGGAGCTGGAATCCATCTCAGCGGGTGGTTTACCTTGTCAGATACTTCCAGCCTTTTGTCCCAGGCAAGGAATTTCTTAACGACGGGATCCTCTGTGAAAAGAGGGCAGATGTTGCCAGTGGGAACAGGGCTGTCGTGGGAGCCTTGCAGAGCCAAGAGGGAGAACCGCGCCCCCCCCCCCCCGCCCCGGGGAAATGCCAAGTTGTGGCCCAGGGTGAAGCTGACGGGAAGAGGGGATTGAAGACCATTCACTGTGGGAGGAAAGGGGGTGACTCCCCTTCTAGGGGGGCCGAGTGACAGGGAGTGATGCCCCTTCATCGTGCATTCACGTATCACTGCAGAGGGCATCGAGTTACTCTCAGCCAGTTTCTCAATTGACAGTCTCGCTGAGGCGAAGATGGACTGTCAGCCCCCCCGCCCGCCCCACACCAGTAAGATTCAAAAGGCCAGTAAGAGCTAGAGTCTCAGGGGTACAGTTGAAACCCAACAAACCTAACTCTGTATCATTTCTAAATGTAACCTCATCCTGCATCATTTACGTGTCCTCTGTATCCTTTATCCGTAGACAGTCCGCCAGGGACGGAGAGCGCACCAACTAGCAGGGAATTGTTTTCCACTGGAAAAGTGTAGTCATGGGAAGATTTGTTTCTTTGTTACTCAAGTATAGCATTGGAGGGTGCTGGGCGAGGGGGCGGGTCCTTACCGAGCATCCTGTTGAAGACCTCGTGGTGCTCAGGCAGCACTGAAGACACCCGCTGTCGCTTCAGCTTCATCTTGAGCCCAATCAGCCACTCCACGACCCAGGTGTCCTGGGCCTCAGCGGCCGGGTCGCCCTCCACCTCCGCTCTGAACGCCACTGACCTCTTCCTCTTTCCGCCGGGGCGCTGAGGCGGGGAGGTGCAACCGGCCCAGGGGGCTGACGAAGGAGAAGAGACTACAGTATGACGCTCTCGTCTTGGGAATTCAGCCACTGGTGACCACCCAACCCCACCCCGACTCTGCCTCCCCCCTGAAGCACCCCCGTGCTTTCCAGTCTCCCAGACCACTGACCTTGCCCCAAGTCATCTTTCCATCTTTCTCTGTCCATATCTACCGATCCCTCCCCTGACTCCTTGTGTCATTTTTCCAGCTTCCTGTCCTCGAAACTCTTTCTCATGGTAGATAATTTCTCCCACCAGGGGGAAAAAAAAAAAAAAAAAAAAGAACCCTCCCTTTGTTTCCTCTCTTCCCTTCTCTCATCCTTGGATCTCGTCTCCTAACCCTCTTTCTTGCTCCCCAGGTGTTCCGTGTCCCCAGCTCCTGTGCTCTCCTCCCTCAATCCCTGGCTTTCCGAATGTCTCCTTTCTTTCATAGGCACCTTTCGCAGGGGCTCTTTCCCGACCTCTGTACCCATTCCTCCTTACCGGTCAAGCCTCTGCAATTCCTTCTCGTGCCAGCTCCTTCACCTGACGGTCCTGGGATTTCTTCATAGACAGTCACCTCCAGGGGGTACCCTGAGGAGCTGGGCTGGCAGGTCTCGTCCTCAGCCTGGGAACTCGGTGGACGATTGTCCATGATGTCTCCCAAACTCTTGGCTTCCTCAAAGACTAGACTCTGCTTTGTCCCAACTCTTGTTCTGGACTTGGGCTAAACACGAGTGGTCGTTCCTTCTCCAAGCTGCGGGGCAACTGGCAGTGGAGAGAAGCTCTGGCGAGATGCTATTGTCTACTACTGTTGCCGAGCACCACGGAGTCTGGTCCTTCCAATCAGGAAGGTCGGAAGCCTCTGATGTCATCATCCGTCATTCCAACCTGGCAAGCAGTTTGAAGGGAATCACAAGTAACTGTCAGACCTATGTGTGCACTTGTCCCAGAGATCAGGGGTAAATGGTATCTCCTGCCACTGACCCAACCTCTGCCCGTCCTCCAAAACCCCCCTCAAGGTGTCCAGACCCCGCTTTACCGCTTCCCAGCAGGTGCGCTGTCCTCTCCCTGCGTGACTCTCCCCCTCCATCCCTTTCCTTTTCCACAGGCTGGTGGGAGAGTGGGGAGAGGGACAAGGAGACTTAGGGGAAGCAGCAACGGTTCAGCCTTATAAGAGTGAGATAAGTATGTAAAAAAATATCCCAGGTACATTGACTCACTGGATTAAAAAGTTACGTTAAAACATAGAATTCTGCAAAGCTCTTCTGCTCAGTGTTTACTGGCACTGTGTTCAGAATTCTGTAGTGGGGGAGCACACGTCCGCTACCCTCAGGCACCTTTGAGTCCAAGAGGCATTTTGAGAAGCTAAAATCATACAGAACTACACGTGCTCACGCACCCTTCAACGGGTGTCTACAGACAGACACACACACGCACACACAAAAAGGGCACCTTTGGATTTCACAAAGTCCATGGATTGTCCAAAGCCTGCCTCTCGATTCCAATTAAGAAGTTCTCTTCTACTTATCAAAATTTTGAGAATGTAGTATCACTGTTGTCCCAGAGATTTCACTACCTGAATAAAAATGTCACATGTACAAAAGCCTAAATGGGAAAATCTCCAGTTCAAGACAGGTTATTTTTCTATGAGGGGAGGAAGTACACGGTAGCCGAGATGCAGAGAAGAAAATAGCCAACTCGGGATCGTGCAGTGTCACTAGAAGCTTCTTCTGAACTTCCCAACTCATGCTTCCACACCTCGCCTGGGGGTCTGAGTCTTGCTTTTCCTTCCTTCCTTCCTCCCTCCGTCCCTCCCTCCCCCCCCCCCCCCCCTCCCTCCTCCCTTTGCTCTTTTTTTATTGTGATAAAATTTGCATCACATGAAATTTGCCCATTTTAAGGGTACAGTTGAGTGACATGAAGAATTCACATTGTTGGGTTTCCCTGGTGGCACAGTGGTCAAGAATCCGCCTGCCGATGCAGAGGACACGGGTTCGAGCCCTGGTCCGGGAAGATCCCACATGCCGCGGAGCATCTTAGCCCGTTCGCCACCAGTACTGAGCCCGCAAGCCATAACTCCTCAGCCCGCGAGCCACAACTACTGAGCCCGTGCGCCTAGAGCCCGTGTTCCGCCGTAAAGAGAAGCCACCGCAATGAGAAGCCCGTGCACCGCAGCGAAGAGTAGCCTCCGCTCGCTGCAACTAGAGAAAGCCTGCACACAGCAAAGAAGACCCAACGCAGCCAAAAATAAGTAAAACAAAAATCTTAAGAGAAAAAGTAAAGAATTCTCATTGTTGTGCAACCATCCTGACTGTCCATCTCCAGAATGTTTTCATGCTGTCAAACTGAAACTCTGTCCCCAGTAAACACTGACTCCCCATCCCCCCCAGCCCCTGACACCCACCCTTCCACTTTCTGTCTCCATGTATTTGACCCCTCTGGGGATGTCACCGAAGTGGAATCATGTAACATTTGTCCATTTGTATCTGGCCTATCCACTTAGCATAATGTCTTCAAGTGTCATCCGTGTGGTAGCCTGTGTCAAAATTTCCTTCCTAGACCCCAAAGCCAGTGTGGACAGTACACAGTGAGTGAGAAGGAAATAAAACCCTGGGTCTGAAGAAGTTCAGATGTATGCCAAGTGCAGTGGGAAAGCAATGAATGAGAGGTGTCGTGATCCAGTTTGCACTGAAAGGGAAACAATTGATGTTGGCTGCTGTAGAAATGGATGGGGTGGAGATTCAGCAAGAGTGGAAGTCGGGAGACCCAGATACCGTTAGGAATTTGGCGTGGTAGTGCAGGAAGACGATGTCTGAGAAGATGGAGAGAAGCCAACAGGTTCCATATATTTGGAGGGAGACTCAGCAGGGCTCATCGGGGGATCAGATTGGGGGGAGGTAGCGGGGCGTTATTTCTGTTTACTCTGTGTGCGCGTGTGTGCTTATGCCTCTACTGCTGAGACTTAACTGTTTCTACAAAGAAACACTAACCTTTCCTCTTACAAGTGGAATTGTTACATTTTCACTGTTTATACAAAGAAATGTCAAACAATCATTGAAAAATACCTAAATGCTCTTTCTATCAATTAGAAACTTTCCTTCCTGTTTGTGGATGAATAATATCTGTTGTATGAATATACACACTACATTTTCTTTATCCATTCATCTGTCAACGAACACTTGGGTTGTTTCTACATTTTGGCTCTGAATCTTGCTTTTGAATTATTGTTTGGACTTTGATGAGAAGTATCTCTGTTGTTCAGGATGTGCCCAGAGTTTTAGTTTGTCTTTGGATCACTTACATATTTCTAATTAGCCCAAGCAATGCATACGTAGAGTCAGATCAGTTCATCCAAGGTGCAGGGACTGAGTGTCTCTTTGGTTTGCACTCGTGGACTTTCTGAGATGTTCTAGGTCTCAGAGGCCATGCAAAGAGCGTCTGAGGTCCTCCAGAGCTGCCACAGCCCGGCTCTCCTCAGGGTCCGCACTGCTGGGAAAAGCACTGCTGCTTGAGGACCTGTGTCCCTCTGCTGTAGACGTTCCATCGTTAGGAGGCAAATGAGTTCAGATTTGCATTCATCGTGCTTTCAACCATCACTGCTGACTGGGTCCTCGTATAACAGAACAGAAGTTCACTCTCCCTCTTGGTTAAGAGGCTTTCAAATCTTAGAAGGTTGGTATTCTGTCCCCGTGAAAATTTCTCTTGTATACTGTGAAATACCCTGATTGCTTTATCTAGTCTTCAGATCTGGATTTGCATAATCCCACCCCACCTCACCTTGTCCAAATGTGCTAAAGTCGGGTGGGACCCATCTTAAGATGTGTTGGTATGTTGTCCAAAAACGGCGTAAACAGCCCAGATCGACTCTGATGTTGTAAGTGAGCAGGACCTTGTGGGGCCTTCCTGGGACGGATTCTCCCCATGTCTTCTGCCTGCTTCTTGTCTTTAGAAAATTTTAGCCTCCTAGCCTTCCCTGAGTTCGAAACGGACAATTTAATCAGAGAAGGGAGAAAGTGCAAAAAGAAAGGAAAAGAGTCCAAAACGACCAAATAATACTAGTGTAGCCGTTAAACAAAGTCAAGGACCTTTCCTTCTTCCTCAAGGGCTGTAGACACTGTTCTGAGCCTCGTCCTTGGAGCTGTTTTGCAGACTGAAGCCCCCAGCAGGTGGAAGAAGTGAACTGCATGCTGCCCACAAGCACGTAGACCCCAGACCAGCTGGAACCAGAAGGTTGATGATGTTGACCTCAAAGTACGTCACCACCAACCAATCGGAAGAATGTCCACAAGCTGACCACACACCCCTCAACCTCCCCTCCCTCACCCCACTCTTTTGTAATTCACTTTAAACATTTTTTAAATTTTATTTTGGGACTATAGTTGGTTTACAATGTTGTGTTAGTTTCCGGTGTACAGCAAAGTGATTCAGTTATATGTACACAGATATCTTTTCTTTTTCAGATTGTTTTCCCGTTTAGGTTATTACAAAATTTTGTGTTTTTTTCGTCACACTGTGTGGCTTGTAGGATCTCAGTTCCCTGACCAGGTATTGAACCCGGGCCACGACCGTGAAAGACCAGAATCGTAACCTCTGCGCCAGCAGGGGACTCCCTGGGTTAATAGAGAATATTGAGTAGAGGTCCCTGTGCTATACAGGAGGTCCTCGTTGATTGCCTATTTTATATATAGTTGTGTGTGTACGTTAGTCCCAACCTCCTGATCTATTCCTCTCCCCCACCTTTCCCCTTTGGTAACCATAAGTTTTTTCTATGTCTGTGAGTCTGTTTCTGTTTTGTAAAGAAGTTCATTGGTATCATTGTTTTAGATTCCACATAGAAGTGATATCATATGGTATTTGTCTTTCTCTGTCTGACTTCCTTCCCTTAGTATGATAATCTCTAGGTCCATCCATGTTGCTGCAAATGGCATTATCTCATTCTTTTTTATGGTTGAGTAGTATTCCATCGCATGTATGTACCACGTCTTCCTTATCCATTCCTCTGTCGATGGACGTTTAAGTTGCTCCCATGTCTTGGCTATTGTAAATAGTACTGCTATACATATTGGGGTGCATGTGTCTTCTTGAATTATGGTTTTCTCTGGGTCTGTGCCCAGGAGTGTGATTGCTGGGTCGTACGGTGGCTCTAGCGTTAGTGTTTTGAGGAACCTCCACACTGTTCTCCATAGTGGCGGCACCAGTGTACATTCCCACCAACAGCCTCACCCCATCTGTAAACACCTTTCCCTGAAAGCCATTGGGGAGTGGGGGCCTTCTGAGCCCTAGATACCTGGACCCCTTGCTTGTTGCCCTGCCATAAACGCGGCACTTTCCTTCACCGTGACCTGGTGTCAGTAGATTGGGTTTAGTGCGTGCGGGCGAGTGGACCCTAGTTTGGTGCAGTAACAGCGTGTTTGCAGACAAGCAAAACTATCACCTCTCCTCCTCTCTTTTCCTCCTGTGGATGCAGTTTAATATAACAACGCTGTAGCTCTAGTACAGAAATATCAGTAGAGTGAAGCAGAAGTGCTTTGTCAATACAATCCTTTCGGCATGAGAGTCACGTGGAGAAAATATTACAACACAGATGCCTGGACCCAGCCTCACAGATTCTAATTCCACAGCACTGAGCTAGGGCCTAATTTTAACTTTCTCAATTGACATGCTTCAGATTTGGAAATCTCTGGGTGGGATGGGCCACCCAGGCTGGTGCAGTAGGGGGGCTTCAAGGCGTCGTTGAATGAAATAAGAAGGAGGGAGGTGAACCGTGACCTGGATTTCACCCAGGCATCCTGTGGCAGGGCTGTGGCCAGGCCATGGGTCCACAGCTGAGCGGACGTCTGTGTCAGCCTCCAATCCTCCTGCCAACGCGTCCGTGACAACCCCTCCAGCAGCCCGGTGCTGCCGTGGATAAGCAGCCCTGGGATCAGAGTTCAGCCCAGGCACCTACCTGGTACATGCATAGTGCATGTGCTGGTGAGGAAAGCACCCTCTCCACCGGGATGCCTGGAGCACATCCTCCCGTACAGCCCTCAGAGGGGACCAACCCTGCTGACACCTTGATCTCAGACTTCCAACCTGCATAAATGTCGGACAGTGCATTTGTGTTGCTTAAGCCCGCCAGTTTGTCGTACTTGGTGACGCAGCCCAAGCAAACCGCTACGACCTGTATTTTGAATAAGAAGGAATTCACGTGTGACGGTCGCTTTCCTGCTTCCCCTGCCTTTATTTTTTTATTTTTATTTTTTAAAATATATTTATTTCTCTTAGGCTGCGTCGTGTCTTAGTTGCGGCACACGATCCTAATTGCCCCGTGGCGTGTGGGATCTTAGCTCCCGGACCAGGGTTCCCGGGCCTCGAACCCGCGTCCCCTGCATTAGAAGGCGGATTCGTTCCCACTGGAACACCAGGGAAGTCCCTCCCCTGCCTTCAAATTAAGACGTGTCGCTGAACTTCAAAGAAGAACCTGTCCTTTTCTGTTAGATTAGAAACCTGAGCTTTCTTCTTAAACGTTCCGTTTCCCGGTTGTGGTAGATGTGTTAGTGTTGAAAAAAATGGCTGAGAGACTTTAAGAGGAAAAGGATTTTACAAATCCTGAAGATGGGTGCCAGTTATCGTGATAAAACTGCTATGTTAATAGAGCAAAAATAAACAGGAGACAACACAGATAAGTACTTAGGAAATGCATGATGGGAAAGGCTTCTTCAAGTACAGTGTCAAAACACATGAAAAGTATGAAGTGGAAGTGAAAGATTTGAACACAACATACTTTTTTAAGTGTGTGTATAAGAGAATGTGAGAGTAAAAAGTTAAAAAGATAAAGAACAGGAATTGACAGATACACACTTGTATATGTAAAATAGATAAACAGTGATGACCTAGTGTATAGCACAGGGAAGTATGTTCAATACCTTGTAATAACCCATAATGGAAAAGAGGCTGAAAAAGATTACATATATTCTTACATAAATACATGTAACCGAATCACTTTGCTGTACACCTGAAACCTTGCAAACCAACTATACTTCAGTAGAAATAGAGAACTGACAAAATAGGGGAAATATCTGTAGTTAATAGAGATGCAGATACACAAGCAGAAAGCTTTGTATTGTAAATATCCATATATATGAAGAGATCCTAAAGAAACCAAACTAAAAGGTGGCCGTTGCTGCTTCTGGTCAAGGTGCAGTCGCAGGGTCCAGGTTTACCCTCCTAGCTTAAAACAGCTTTAAAAAGGGGGAAATGTATGAAATGACGGTTTTTCGCCTTTTGGAGAGAGGGGTGAGTCGTGAGGGACATCAGCTCACTGCTAGACATCCCATTCATTGGGATGACTCCGTACTTATTCCCTTTTTTAGAGCATTTCCTCAAGACAACTGGTAATAGAAATACTTCCAGAGAGTGTCCAGGGCAAAGTACAGGGCAGGGGGCCGGGGAGCCCAGCATGTCCCTGGGCTGAAGGGATAGAGTGAGGTGTTGAGGTGGGCACAGCAGCTGGGGTTCACAGGCCACCCCAGTATTATGCTGAGACCCGGTCGGTGCACGTGGGTGAGCTGAGAACTGGAGGCCTGGTGGCGGGCTGATGGGCGCGCTGCCCACCCACGGTGCTTCCAAGCAAGGTACTCCGTGTAGCTGACGTCTTTACGTGCTGAAAATGGAAAAGGCGAGAAATGCGCCCTGGAGGTTTGCCAGGCTCAGGCTCAGAGCAGGCGTGGTCGCTGTCATTCACACACAGGCAGCATTTCACCGGTGAGAATTCAGGCAGAGGCCACAGTCAACAGCAGCAAGAACCGGAAAAGACCGTTCCTGGCTCTAAGCAGCCACTTCCAAGAGCAATTTTGGAGAAGCACGCATTTTGTGCAGGATTAATGTAATGTGGCAGCTCAGCTGGGGAAATCAGCAATGGGTTATGTGCTTATTCATTTGGACGAATCATCACTTCTTATTTCCATTTTTAGAGGATTTCCTCAAGACGCTTGTAATAGAAATAGTTCCTCTGTCCCTTTCGTAAGTATCTAAATCTTTTTAAAAGCTAAATCAGTCTCTTGCCAGCATTACAACCCAGGAATGTGTTTGTTAAGGACCTGAGAGCTATCTTCTTTATCTCTGTCACCGGGGGAGTTTAGGCTAGGTGGTAGGCACTTTCCTCTGAGCTGTAAGTACCTGCTTATCCTAGAGATAGGAGCAGTTGTCTTTCTCCTTTGGATAAAGGGTATTAACTAGCATGGACAGCCACCGAGATTACCAGGTGAATTTAGGATATACTCTGAAAGAATGTATGCCATTTTTATGGTGGTGTCAAGTCTTTTCACATGAGACAAGTTCCCGTTTATCTTGAGAACATGTATGCAACAGATTTTATCTGCTGAGCTATAAAAAAAAAAAAAGGTGAAGTTGATTTCATTTGCACAAACATTAGTGGGCCGCCTGTGGTGCACAACACAGTCTTGTTTAATGGTTATTCAACAGTAAAACCGGTTTCTTTATGTCTACATTTGTGTAGAGGATTTTCTCGGTTGGCGGGAGATTTTATTTTTTATTTTTGTTAATTACTTAATTAATGGGACTGCACTGCGCAGCATGCGGGATCTTAGTTCCCCAACCAGGAATCAAACGCGTACCCCCTGCAGTGGAACCTAGGAGTCTTAACCACTGTATCGCCAGGGAAGTCCCTGGAGATTTTATTTTTAACTTTTCCCCTAGCAGCTTTTAAGGAACAGTTGGCCAAAAACACAGTTATATTATCTCACCCCCAAAATAGTGATAAATCATTACCCTTATGATTCCATTTTTGAGAAATGATATTTTTACCTAACATAAACAGTATCTTCGTTAAGAGGTAAGATCCCAGGTGTCTGTTTTCTGTTTGTGTGTACCTTCTGAATTTCATACAGTTTTTAAAGTGTTGGTTGTGCAAACAGCTACAATTTCTATTTTCTTTTCTTTTCGTGGGTAATATTAGTTTGTATCATGGCTGGGCATTTATTGTATCCTAGGATTTGAATTACAGTTGTAGCGTTTCAGTTAAGCGAACGTGATACACTCCTTCCCCTCTCCTGGCGGTGGGGGAATCTCAGATGTAACTCGAAATGTCTCAGGGCAGGGAAAGGACCAGGGACCCTGGAGGCCATCACACAGCCCCCGCTTGAGGCCGCAGCTTTCCTTGATCCCTAACAGGAGTGAAGACAAATGGGCAATTGAGTCCCTGGTCCAGACGGCCCACCGTCGCAGCACAGCAGCTCCTCACTGCCAGATGAGATGAAGACATTTACATCGCTCACTAACTGGACGGCGCGGAGACTTCTGGGAAATAGAGTCTTGGTACTTGTTTCGCTCTCCGGTCGGGCTTTGGCAGGCGGACTTCCGGCGTCCTCCTGCGCAGGTGCGCCTCACGGTTTCTGAGGGTTGGCGCACGCGCGCCGTCGCCGCGCCGCCTTCGCTTCCTGTGCGTGCGCAGGTCGGCTATGGTCGTCGTTCCGCCGTTTTGGCCTCTTGCCGAACATTCGGGGCTTGCGGGGCTGGACGCCGTCGGGCCCGGCCGGCAACAAGCGCGAGCGGGGTTAGCGGGCGAGGGTTCGCGCAGGCCGGGCGGAGGCTGGAAGTGGGACCGCCGAGCTTGAGCCGCGGAGCCCGCGGCCTGGGCCGGAGTGGCCGAACGGCCGGCGGCGGTCCGCGGCATAGCGAGTTCCCGGGAGAGCCGTGGGCCTGAAGGGAGTTTGTGCCGTAGGCCCAGAGCCGGCTCCTCGGGCCCAGTGGCCTAGGGAGGCGGAGAGGAGGGACCCCGAGAGAGGAGCGCGCCGGAGGAGCAGCCCCCGGACCGGAGCCTCGGGAGCCCGGGGACGGTCAGCGAGTCTCGACGGGGTTGGTGCGTCTGCGTGCCTGCAGGCGGTTGTGGACCTTGCGGCCGTTGCAGAGCGGGCTTGGGTTACCCCGCCGCGGGCCCCGCGGTAGTGCGATCGGGAGGGTTTGACCGCTTCCCGGAGGTGGAGGGGCCGGGCTGGAGGGCAGGGCCGGCTACTCCGGATGGGGCTCCCCTGGGACTTGTGAGCTCCGGGTGTTCTGGGGGAGCAGGGGCCGCAGGCTCGGCCGGGACGTGCCTCGTCCTCCCTTACGTCCAACCCCGATCCTCCACGTCCTCTTGTCGCCGTGTCGGCATCTCGCACGTGTCTCTCAAGGCGCGTCACCACCTTGGTTGTCTAATCTAAGCGTCCCCTGCCCCCCTCGGTTGTTCCCTGTGGATTCGCACAGTGTAATCGGTGCAGGATGAGTCTGCAAGGCTTCTGTCCTGCTGCCTCGCTTGAGGAAGGAAGAGATTTGGCCTGAGAAGGGAGGTGACTTGTCCTAGATCCTCACCGGGTGTGCACGTGCAGTCGCTACAAGGAATCTAAACTCCTAGGGCAGGTGTTCTGTCCACTTAAAGTCAGTTTTAATAAAACTGTTTTTTGAGCGTCGCACTTAAGTTTGTAAAGTTTGTACAAATAATTGAAAGACTGAAACGCACCTGAGTGTGTCCCTTTATTCTGGGTATGCTGTGGATGTCTAATCTAAGTTGTTAACAGACTTAGAAGAGTTAAACTATAAGCGTTTTTTCATTTCATATTTAATGGCGGAGGATTATTTTCGTAGGACTCAATGTACACTCACTGCTGAAAAAAGTATCCCCTCAGGTACCCCAGCCACGTGGGAGTTACAGACCTGAGGGTGGTTGCTCCCTCCTCATTCTAACAGGCCCTTCTGAAGAGGAAATGGCGGGTCTCCCACAGGTGTCTCTTGTGGAGCGCGGGGCGGGTGCTCGTGCAACCCCGAGCCGCTTCAGTCGTAGCTTCACTGCCTGCGTTTTCCTTCTGCAGGTCCGCCTCCACTGTCACAGTCCTGCACGCTGTTCCAAGAGCAGCAGAAAATGAATCAGCCCCTGGTGAGTTTTGCTGTTTACTTATTTACCTGCTGCTGTTCTTTTGTGATAACACCTTGGGAGGCGAATGGTTCAAACTGTGAAATGGGAAAGTAGGAGTAGGGAAAAGATGTGGTTCGACAAAGCGTAGAGGAGCAGGTCAGTACCAAGTGTTTCTGGCAAGTTCCACGTGTAGATCCCACGATCCTCTTATAGACACAGTACAAGCCTCGTGTTCTTGACATCTGTGGCAAAACGCCATCCCTTGCTTGACTTACATTGTCCTGCCGAAGCACTTTTGTTCTCGGGCGTTAAAGGTTTCCTTGAGGATCCCGCTGTAGGCCGCTAGCCTTCCTGAGCCACAGCCCCTAACGTGTTGACATCGGTGCCTTCCTGTCCTTCCCGTAAGCCGAGAGCATGCCTTCCAGGGAGCCCTCAGGGCATAGAACTTTTCTGTTCAGTGGAACACCATTGTCACATAGGTACATTGTTTTCAGTGCTCAGTCCAGGGATGCAATGAGGAGCATCTGGAAGCACAGCCTTGTCACCCTTCCAGTAAATTTCCCTCTTTGTCACTTACAATCTAACAGGGTCACGTTACACACCATGTAGTGATGTCTGTGGCAAAGATTCCGTGTTTCCCACCTGAATTGTATCGTGCAACCTGCGGTCTTTGTTCTGCCCCTCCCCGGAACCTGATCCGGTTGAGGTGACCTGGCATCCAGCATACAAACCAGTGGAGATTTGCCAGTCGTCACCTCAGACCACTGTCGCCTTCCCATCTGCAGAGTCTGCTGTGTTGGTTTCTGTGACAGATCTCTCCTTGCTCTCTTCCTGACTGATTTCTTTCTTCCCCCTCTTTGTTGTCTTTTCACTCTTGGTTCATGACTCTTCAACCTGTCTGACTTCGCCTTGTGGTGCTTTTCACTTCCAGCTCTGTCAGTTCTCCCAGCTGGACCAGATAGATGCCTCTGTCCAGCCACTTGCCAGCATCTCTGTGGAGTTTGTCCAAAGGGCGCCTCAAATTGCTAGATCCAGTAGATCCAAGAATGACTATTTACGGCTCCCCCGCCCCTTGCCCTCTCCTTTTGTCCCTGGCAGCTCATCGTTGCATCGTCTAGCCTGTCACCCTACCCAGAAAAATGGGATCATTCTAAAGTCCTTCTCCAGCCTCTGTTACCACGTTGTAGTATTAGGCTTGTTAATGTCGTAGTGTAAATGGTTTTTATTCGTTCCCCTTCATCCCGTACTTGCTACCATTAAAATAGCTTATCTTTTCATTTCTGTAGTTACGGAAACTTTTTTTCTGTGCTGCTCTTTCCTCCGGCTGCTCAAGTGTATTGTGCACGCTGAGTATTTCTCCTAAAATATTAATCACAGCAGTTTGTCTGCATATGGGAAGCACTTCAGAGGTTCCCTGGGTGACTGGACAAACGAGGTAGCCGTTCTATGGAACCGTCGAGCCCAGCACTGGGGGGAGGTCGTACCTCGCTGATGATGCGTTTGGATGGATCTGTGGGGTAAAATCCTGATCGGAGACGCTTAGGAGAGAGGAGTGGGAGAACTGGGTTTGTTGTGTTTCTAACTTTTTCAGGACGTTTTGCTGTGACGGGGAAAAGAGAAATTGGACAGTAGCTGGAGTAGGAGCTGAGGTCCGGGGAGGATGTTGTGTTGTGTTGTGTTGTGTTTTGACGGGAGAAATAAGAGTGGGAATGATCCAGTAGATGCGTGTGGGGGAGGAGAGAGCTTCTGCCCGGGGTGCTGGAGTGGGGAGGGGATGGCAGAGCTGGGTTGCAGGTGGGGAATCCCTCCAATGGCTTCTCTGTTCTCAGGGAAGCAGCTCCTCAGCTGAGGGTGAGGGTGAGGTTGGGGGTTTGAGGAGAGAGCAGAGCTCTGGGGCCCAGCTCCATGGTGACCGTCAGCACACACAGTTCAGCCAGCTGGGAAAACTGTACTTGCCTTGTCTGCCTGAAGAGCCATCTCCTCTCTTACATGTGGGAGGAATTACCCTTTGGGGAGCCTATGTAATTACACGGGTGCTTCTCAGCTCAAAGCGAATTGAGTGCCAGTTCTGGCCACGGAGACTTTCTGCTCTGCTGGTGGAAGGGTCCCCAGACGACGTGTCCTGCTTCCCTGGCTCTTGGCCTCGGGGACCCTTCACGCCATCTAGTGTCGTGTCTTTTATCTTAGACATAAACTTCAGATGTCTTCAGGTTCTGCATGTGATCTTGAGCAATTCTCTGCTTCCAGGAGCTTCTGTTCTCCTCGGGAAAGGCACTTCACAGACGTAATTACGGGAGAGGACGGGAATCCTGCCCGTCGATACGTCGGGAACTCCAGAGTGCTGACACAGCAGAGCCTGCTTCTATTTACTTATCTATGTGTTTTAATTTTTGTTTCTTTACTTATTAATTTATTCACTTCTGGCTGCATTGGGTCTCTGTTGCTGCGCGCAGGCGTTCGTCTGTAGTTGCGGTGAGCGGGGGCTACTCTTTGTGGCGGTGCGCGGGCTTCTCATTGCGGTGGCTTCTCTGATTGTAGACCGTGGCTTCTAGGCATGCGGGCTTCAGTAGTTGTGGGCCGTGGGCTCAGTACTTGTAGCGTGCGGGCTGTGGAGCGCAGACTGAGTAGTTGTGGCTCACGGGCTTAGTTGCTCCGCAGCATGTGGGATCTTCCCGGACCAGGGTTTGAACACGTGTGCCCACCATTGGCAGGCGGATTCTTACCCACTGCGCCACTAGGGAAGCCCGAGAGCCTGGTTATAAATGCATCGTCAGAGCACGTGGCTCAGTGACTTGGGGAAGGGTGACGGGCCTCAAGTGACCAGGACTTGGGTAGCTGCAGAGGTTGGCGAGGCTCTCAGAGCAGCGTGAGGTGGACTGGATGAGGCTCCTGAGGTGCTGGTAAGGACCTCCTTCCTTAGGACGTGGGCCTCCCGTCAGGAACAGCGGGACGTGGATGCAGGCAGACCCTGAGGTTGACTGAAGAGCCTCCCCTCTGTGCTGGTTTTGGTTTCATCCTGTGGAGAAACTGAAACCTTGTAATCGGGACAGTGAGTCATCTGATCTAAAGATGTCATGTGTAGAGACCGTGGACGGCATGAAACACGGGGTGGGGTGCGGTGGGTCAGGTCAGGGGGACTCTGGGCTCCAGCGCGCTGCCCGACAGGAAGGGGCTAGGCCGCGGCGTGTTCCCGCTGGTCCTAGGCCCCGGTAAGCAGTATGGACGTTCCCTTGGGGTTTTTCTGAATCGTGAATGAGGTTGAGAGTATTTTCACATGCTTAGAAGCTGTTTCTTCTTTTTAATGGATAGACAGTTTTTAGAGCAGTTTTAGGGTTCCAGGAGAATCGAGCAGACAGCAGTTTCCTATGCCCGTCCCTCTGGGTTCCCTCCCTTGATAACCTCTCAGGCCTGTGTGGCGCGTCATCTCAGTGATGGATCAGCATTGACCCCTGATTCTCCCGTGGAGTCTGTAGTTTATATTAAGGCTCCCTCTCTGTGTCCTGCTGCCCAGGTTTGGACAAGTGTGATGACCTGCAGCCACCACTGCAGTGCTACCCAGAAGCACTTCACTGCCCGAAACATCCGTGCCGGTCACCTGTTCATTCCCCCCCCAGTGTCCCCGAGCCCCCGACAGCTGCTGATCTTGTTACTGTCTGTGTATTTTTGCCCTTTCCAGAATGTCACGTAGTTGGAATCCTTCTGTCTGTGGTCTTTTCAGACTGGTGTATTTCTGTTTTTACATGAAGGGCCTGTCATGTGCATTGCCCGTCTTCCTGCCCCAATACTGTCTTGTTTTGTTCTGTTTCGTTCTGTTTTGTTTTCCTTGTCTTATTGGCTTTCAGAGTCGTGTTAAATGTTTCTAAATTTTTCCAGTTGGGGTCATGTTAGTAAACATTGTTTTCCAAAGGTTATTGTCTTTTTCCTGTATTTTCCAGCATTGCTATGTAATTCATTACTTTTTTTTTACTTTGAGAGGTTGAATACTATGCATTTCAAAAGTTTCTAGAAATCAGCACGTTTGTGTGGGTAAGAGTCCTAGTTGAAGAGCACCCTCCTTGGTCAGTACTGAGGTGCAGCTTCTTTGCGGGCGGAGGCGCGTGAGGGGGGAGGAATGCGTCGGTCTCGTGGTTCCCTTTCTGCTGGGTCTCAGTTCCCCTTTCTGGTTCTGGGCAGTGCATCAGCCACTCTCCTGGGACAGGCCAGGCAGGTGGGATCCTCGCTTCCTGGCTGTGGAGGCTGTGTGTGTCTGGGAACACCTTTCTTTTTCCCTGAGGAGCGAGAGGACCCTTTTGGTTGTGGAGCAGCGTCCTAGGACTGCGGCCCCTGGGCCCCCGCTGTTGTGTGTCATTTGGGCCCCAGCCATGCATGGGAGATCTCTGACACAGGGACGCAGCTGTTAAAGCCCTCTTGGGGTTTTGTCACGTACAATCCTCTGAGGAATACTCCTTTTCTCTAATGGAATTCCAGTGCTTAAGCTTTCTAGCCACTCATGAAAAGAATCTCAGAAAGGAAAGGAGACCTGTCCTCTCTGCCACCAAGCAGGGGAGTGAGCCAACACTGTGAACGTAACGCTGAGAAAGTGGCTTGTGGGAAATGTGTAACCAGTTCTGAGTTGTGGGATTACAAGGCTGTCTGTGTGGAATCTTACTGTACCAAGTGGTCTTTTAAGACACATACGTCGTGGGTTGTTCCCTTGTGTTTTGAAACTAACCTAAAACCCCTCAATATTTGCAGTTCTGATTGCTTTCTTAATTTGTTATCCAGGTTTCCTGACATCCATTTTTTTAAGTTTAAAGTGCAATTTTCTCATCTTCCCTTTACATAAAAGTGAACGTGGGCAAGCCACTTAACCCATCACCAAATAGAAAATCATCTGGAACATTCACATGAATGCTGTTTTCAAGCAGCAACAGTGCATATATTTTTATGCCCGTTACCAGTGAAAACTATAATGTTTTCTTATTGTGCTGTTTTTTTCTCATCTGGCAAAATTACAAGCAATTAGAAAAGCCCCTCAAATCACACATTTTGTGAAATTACAAATGCAGAACCGGAAAGGAGAATAAGGTGTGCGTGATTCTACTTACGCTTTAAAATGAGAGTAGTTCATGGTCTGATCCCTCACTCTCTTGCATTTGGTAATAACTTTCAGTGTGTGAACGTGTGGGCCCCCAGTCTTCATCCGGGCAGCCACAGGTGTGACCAGTGACGCCTGAATGGAATATGGGCAGAGCTTCTGGAAGACTTGCTGTCGATTTCTGAGACAGGCTTCTCGAGGCTGAGCCGAGGCAGTTCTGCACAGACGCTCGTCTGCCTTGGGCGGCAACCAGCTCTTCCCCCCGCCCCGCTCACCCCCCACCCCCTGGTGTCCTGTCAGCAGGTGGGCACCCTCAGCCTTCCCAGGCCAGCAAAGCCTGGGTCCCGGACGTCTCTGCATCTGGAGCTGGGGGTCAGGTGATCTGGCATCTCAGGGGACCTTGCTAACAGGACCCATCCTGCCTCTTCGATTGTTACACGTAAAGAACTTTGATTTTCAGTCAATGTCAGGAGTTTGTTGCCATCTTAAACGGCCTCTGTGCTTGGCGTGGTCTTTTCCTTAACCTC